CTGAAACCAGGACTGCGCCAGGTGACAGCTAAAGCAGGGCTCCAGGAGAGACGTCTCTAGGAGAACCAGCTACTCTGGGCCAGAGCACAAGGACAGAAAGCTCCCAGGGGAATCTAGCTGACTGGCCTTTGTTCTCAGGTCAGGAAGGGAGCATCCATACCAGGACCCCATTGGCCATGTCAGGTTTTCAGCCAGCTTCCTTCTCTGAGTCTCAACTCATTCTGCTGTAAAATGAGGGCACATTCTTCCCGACTTCAGAGGGTGTTGAACATAAACTGAGAGCTGCGGATATCCTTTAGAATCGTTAAGTGCTGACCTTTGGAAGGCATTGTTATAATGTTATCTCAGTGGCAGCTGAGACCTTTCAGATCTCTGACATATGTGAATACCCTGGTTTGGGAGGACACCATATTGTATCATTTCTCATCGTATCAATAGTTATTGTCAGATTGAGTTTGCCCAACCAAAAGTAGATTAGGAAAGGCACAAAACATTTATTCTTGTACTTATTATGTGCCAGATATTCTTTAGCTGTTTTACATATGTCATTTCTTTGACTCATCTGAAAATCCGGCAGTATTTATCATGCATTATACTAATGATGTGTGCATTACCCTTATCACATGGGCATGATTGTCAATAACTGATGATAACTGTATTCGTATCAGTTTAGAGGAGAGAACACTGAGGCTTAGCTTGGGGGACTTGATTCAGATCACACACTTCAAGCTAGGATCTCACAGCACCCATTTCCATCTGTCTCTTCTTATGTATTTAAATCCATGCAAAGAGGGAGCATAAACTGATATGTGATCTGTCGGCCACAGATGAGCCAGGATAAGTTGTGTATGGCTTTGGAATGAAATACAAACATACACCTCGCCCTTTCCCCTGACTTTCCCTGCTCCGTGTTAGCTTTTCTCCCTTGTCAGGTGTCTAGGATGGGGGTCCACATAGCACATCTGTCCTCATGGGGAGTCCAGCGTGGCCATCCCTGCAGGTGACTGGCTCCCTTGGAAAAGACAATCTCGGAACACCTTGGCCTCGTGGTCAAGAGGCCTGGGTTTGAGCTCTCAGTCTGCCTGTCACTGGCTCTGGGACCTTGGATACCTTACTTCACCGGAACACATCCCAGCCTCTCTCCAGTAAAGCTGGGTGGTGGGCTTGGGGCTGGGGTTTCAGGATTCAAGTTAGGGCTGCTTTTCTGGGGTTTTCTAAGGAAGCTGCTTGCCCTAAAACTGGCATCCTCAGTGGCTCCGGGATCTGACCCCAGAGTGTGTTTGCAGGGGAGGTTTGGTTGTTTTCCTCATTCTGTGAAGACTCTGGGGCAGCGACTGGGGCTGAGCCCAGCTCTCTGTGGCTCTAGTCCCACGTGACCTTGAATGGCAGGCTTGAGAACAGGTTCATTCTGCACATTTACTCCCCATCACTTCCCTCTCCTCTTTGTTCTTGCTGTGGAACCCTTGCTGGGGAGGCAACAACAGGGTCAGAGATGATGGGTGACATTGGAATTAAATGCCTGCCTGGGGCAGTTTCCACAGATCCAGACACTGTCACTCATCTCTCTCTGGAGGAGTGCAGTGAAATTTTGTTCTCAAAATTATGTTTACTTTAGATATATCCATGATATTTTTAAGCAACATATTTGTATTCCTAACAGTATTTCCCTTAGGTGACATAAAAATGAGAATCTTTAATCCTGGGGTGAGGCACCATTTGCTCTTCTGCTGCTGATAAACCCACCATGTAATTAAGCCCAAGAGGTAGGTGTGAGTGAGTGCTCATGCCAGCCTTACACATGTGCGAACGTGGGTGATGGATAGCTGGACAAAGTACTTTCATTTAAACCCCCCAGGTCCTGTAATAGTACTGTTATTCCCCTAAATAAAGTTGAGGATGTCAAGCTTTAGAAAGAGAGAGTGCCTTGCCCAAGACCAAGTCCCAGCCTCAGATCCTACATTTCAGTGGCTTTCAGAGAACCAGTGAGTGTCACATGGCAGGCAGTGCCCAGGACACCCTCTCAGGGCAGGGGGGTGTAGCTAGGCATTCAGTTGCATTGGCTGAGACCCGTAGGGTGGCTTGGCTTTGCCGAAGCCCCAGGCCTGGAAACTGAGCAGTGGGAAGACCTAACACATGGAGGGGTCAAAGAGGAGCTGTCAACTGCTTGCAGGAAAGGGAGCTGGAGGTTTTGATGTTCCTGCAGCATCTGGGAATGAGAGTCCATCTGCAGGGAGCTCTGTGAAGCTGGGACTCTGGCCAAGACAGTGGAGAGGCGGGAACTGGGAGGGCTCTGGACAGGCAAAAACATTTTGTCCTTGAGCCTTCTCGTTCTGTGTGAGAGGAAATTCCTCAACTCTCCCGAGGCAGCCTGCTTGCCCAGGGAGATCTAAGCATTCCCAATATTGGGTCCCTCGAGCCCACTGCATGGGCCTTCTGCCAAGGGTGTCTGGCTGCCCCTGTCAGAGGCGATGATGCCAGGGCTGGGGCAGATTGGCTCTGAGAACCTGTCCTCTGGTCATGGGTCCTGTGTCCCCTTGCACTCAGGCTCCACGCCCTTCACATAGCACCTGCCTTGGGGAAACTTGTCCTTCCACCTGCCTGGTCTTCCCAGCCTCTCCCACCCTCATCCCCAGAGGCTGTGCAGGGCATGCTCTGAGTATGCCATATTTTGTTTTCATTTAGTGGCCAGTTTGGAGTTAGGCCTTTCCCAGGTATGTAAATCAGCCTAGAAATGTATTGTCATGGCTACAGGCTTCCAGGAGAAGATCTGGTTTGTGTGGCTGTGGGCTAAAAAGAACTCAAAATACCACAGTCCTCCTGCCCCCAAACTTAGAGTTTACCTTAGAGATACCATAGCCTTCTTTGTCTCTACCCCTGCCTGCCCCAGACCCACCTCCCCCGCCCCCCACCAAGACAAAAACAAAAAGACTGAAAAAGAATTATTGAAGATCAAAACCGTGTGGCTCGCAGGATGAAGGGCAGGATCAGAGACTGAGCAGCTGGGAGCTGTGGGAAACACATACCAGCTCACCTCTCCGCTGCCCCTTTCCCTTTGGCTCTTGTGAGGCAGGTCAGAGCCCAGCTTAGGGAGGATTCTGAGAATGAAAGAAAGCCTGTTTGTTACCCTACCTCCCCCAGAGAACAGAATGGGGGTGAGTGGGCCAGCCCTGAACCCAGAGAGTTGTTCTAGTTTCTGTCTTTGACTAGCTGGGGCACTCTTTCCCTCTCCCAGAGAGAGATTCACCCCACCCCACCACCCCATTTTGGCTGTACAACAAACTGCATATATTTATGGTGTTTACTTTGAACTTTCATGAATGAAACTTTCACCACCATTTTAAGAAATGAACATCTCCTTCACTCCAAATGCTTTCTTATGCCCCTTTACAATCTATCCTCCAACCCCTGCCCCAAACAACCTGTCACTATATTTTGCTTTTTCTAGAATTTTATATAAATGGAATCATCCAGTATACTTTCTTGGTCTGCTTTCTTCCATTCAGTGTAATTTTGGTGAGATTTGTCCTTGTTGTAGTGTTTTTGTTAGTGCTGAGGAGTATTCCATTGATATGGATACATCACAGTGTGTTTATTCATTCACTTGTTGTTGAGCATTTGGGTTTTTCCAGTTTGGGGCTATTAGGAAGAAAGCTGCTATGAAAGTTTGTGTACAAGTCTTTGTTTGGACATGTGCTTTCATTGCTCTTGTGTAAATACCCAGGAATAGAATGAATGGATCATGTGCTAAAAAGTTAATCAACTTTTTAAGAAACTGTCAGATTGTGTTCAAAAGGGTCTGAGCTATTTTGCACTCGCACCAGCAGTGTAGGAGAGTTCCAGTTGTGCCACATCCTCGCTAGCAGGGTCCTTAGGATGATCAGTCTTTAACTTTAGTCATTCTATTGATGTAGTGTCTTTGATTTTCTTGAAGTGCTTTAAGTCTCAGGAGATGGTAGGGGAGCACCCCACAGTCACAGAAAACCATGGTAGGGGAGCACCCCACAGTCACAGAAAACCATGAAGACGCTCTCTAGTTCTGTTTTATGAGAGACCTCTAGATATTCAGTCCTCCCTCTGTACCTGCGGGTTCTGCATCTATAGATTCAAACAACCGCAGATCAAAAATATTTGAGAAAAAAAATTCCAGAAAGTTTCAAAAAGCAAAACTTGAATTTGCCATGCTGGCAACTGTGCTTACGTGCTTACATCGTATTAGGTATTATAAGGAATCAAGAGGTGATTTTAAAGTATATCGGAGGATTTTAGGTTATATGCAAATATTATGCTATTTTTTTTTTTTATGTAAGGAACTTGAGCAGCTGCAGATTTTGGGTATCAGCAAGGAGTCCTGGAACCAATCCCCTGCAGATACCAAGGGATGACTGTATTGTTAGATGAAAAGGCAAGGTGCCAAGCATTGTATATAGACTGCTATCAGTCTTTTAAGAGAAGAAAAATAAAAGTCTATACCTATGTGCTATTGTGTGTTATACACATGGACCATCATTGGCATGATGAACAAGAAGCTGGAAACTGGTTGCCTCTGGGGAGAGATATTGGGCCAGAGGACAGGGGTAGAGGGGAGACTGTACACATACTCTTTGTACCTTTTGAACTTTATGCCATATGAATGTATCACTTATTCAAAAGAGTAAATAAAATTTAAGGGGTAAAAATCTCATAGGATGCCAAGCATTGGCTCTCCCCCAACACTTCTATCCCCTGGAAGTGCTCCTGGGGACCCAGAGCCTAGGTTGGACATGGCCCTCCAGAGGCCTCGTCCTTCCCTGCTGGGAGGCAAGAGCACTGTCATGCCATGCAGGGAAATGGGCACATCTTGTTCCGAGGGGTCTCCTGGGCCTCCCCCACTCCTTATCTGGCAGTAGTCAGTTTCTGGTGGGAACATGAGCCCCAGCATGTTCACATGCTGTGTATTCCTTTAGCCCGTGTCTGTGGAATGAGTGAGTGAATGTTCACCCCACATTCTGTTTGCCACACAGAGAAGAAGAGTGAGGAGAAGAGTGAGTACCTCCTGCCTGCGGCTCCCAACAAGCCCGTCGCACCCCTCTTCCTGCAGGGCCTCTCTGATCTCCAAGTCATGGACGGGAGCCAGGTCACCATGACAGTCCAGGTGTCAGGTCTGTCCCCGTGTCTCTGTCCTCGGGGTATACATGAAAATGGGCATGGTTGCAACATGGGCATTGCTCCCCAATGTCCTGCTCAGTTCATTGATCCATCAGAAAATCAGCCTGGAACTGTCAGTCAATGGACCTGAAGAAATGAAGCCTCTTGGCCCCTCTTTTCTGTTTTCTCTGGGCAGGATTTTCTGGATTCAAGGTTAAGTGGTTCAGGGGGAAAAGATGGCCATGCTTGAGAGGTGGGGGATTAATTGAAAACACAGTGTGGCCAGTGTAACTGGAGATTGTGAACACTGGTCCAAAACCAGATGATGTGAGAACTCTCAGACTCTTGAAAGATAGTTGCTGTATTTAAATGTTACAGCAAGAAGATGGAACAGAGGCCTTCTCAAATAGGGATGGGGTGACAAGAGCATGGGATGAGCAGCCCAGTGGAAGACGTCACAGTCCTTGCTGGAAGCCAGCAAGCGAAGCCTGGGGAATCTCCTGGCACAGTCTTAATGACATAGACTTGTGCTGGCCTCTGATAAGTCCTGTTGACAGCCTGGAGGTCCTCTCTGGTTTTTCAGTTTCTTTGGAGCAAAGGCGATAAGGATGAGCTGGGAGAGAACCCGTGGTCTCAGGGTGGACTCCCTGCTCCCAAAGGCTGGAGGCAGTCCCTGGATAATGCAGGCAGAGGCTGGGTCCCCTCCGCTGCACACACTCCTCAAGTTTAGAAATCAGAGGCCCCCCGGCCTCCAGACACGGGGTTGGCTTCCCCATCGAGGCAGGTGGTGGTCTTCACTGCCCTTGAAAGAGCCCGACACCACGCAGCTATTCCCGGGGTCTTTCTCCCCTGGAAGCAGAGCACCGTGGCTCAGCTCTTATCACAGAGGAACCCTCACAGGTGGCTGTTGTTTTATGCCCCCCCAAAATTGCTAGAAGCTACCCCCAGGGAAGTAGACTAGCAAAAACTGAAAATGCCATCCACTATGAGCTGCGTCTGGAAAGCCTGACACCCCTCTTCACCCTTGGACATTTGTATGGTACCAAAATGAAGTGCTAATGGAGCCTTTCCTTGGTGAAAACTGACAAGGGAGTTTCTGTGAAGCCCTGTGTGAGGTGTGCGGGGCAGGAAACAGAGCTGCAACCCACTGATCCAGCTACCACTCAGCATTATCAGTCTGAATTCTGCTTTTAAAAGCTTTTCTACCAGTGTATTTTTCATCTCTGAAATCATTTTTTTTTTTCACTTCTGGGTTCTTTCTGGTTTCCCCAAATTTGTTGTTAAGTAATTATAATGAACATGTATTGAGTACTTTCTTTGCTCCAGGTGCTGCTCTAATCGGCTTCTCTAGTGGGCTGCTAAGGGGGTGGTATTAATTTATTTAACCCTCCCAGTAAACCTATGAGGTAGGTAGGGTTAGAATATTTATGGATGGGAAGACTTAAGCAATGCAATGTCACAGTACTAAGTAGAGCTGCCCACAGCCCAGGGAAGCGCCTCTCTGACCAGCCCCCCTGCTGCTCCTCTCCGTTCAGGGAACCCGCCCCCAGAGGTCATCTGGCTTCACGATGGGAATGAGATCCAGGAGTCCGAGGACTTCCACTTTGAACAGAGAGGCACTCAGCACAGCCTGTGTATCCAGGAAGTGTTCCCGGAGGACACGGGCACTTACACCTGTGAGGCCTGGAACAGCGCTGGAGAGGTCCGCACACAGGCCGTGCTCACTGTGCAAGGTGAGGCTGACCTGTGACCTGGTGACCAGAAGCGGGGCAGGGACGAGGTAGCTATGTGGTTACGGTCTCTCCAAAGACGAACTGAAGGTGAGGAAACCATGTGAGCCTACTTTGTTGCCATCTCCTCTGCTCCCTTGGTTCCCTCCCAGCCCCAGCGGCGAGCTCCGCATCCTCATCTGGGGCTCTGGCTGAGTGGGGCCACCCTTCCCTGCCTTTAGAAACCCCTGCTCTCCCTGGATTACTGGTGAGCAGCTGCATAGAGTGCTAGGAGAGAAATCTCCTAACACACTTTGGAGGTGAGGGCCTATGAGGGCCTATGAGGGCCCTTGCCTTTAGAGAACCCATATTTAAGAGGAGAGACAAGTTAAGCACACACAAGCAAGTGACAGCTCTTCATCATACAGATCATTGTTACCTATCCCAGTGCCCCTGTACCTTCTAGGTGACTTCCCCTTGCTTTGGCTATACAAGTTCATGTTAATATTGCCCTCTGAGAAGCAACCGAGATAGATTTACCATGAGAACGAGGTGCTCTCCCTGAATGTTCAATAAGAGTCATTTCTGGATGAGCTGTTCTTTGGGTAACATGCTGTCTTCTGACCTTCACCGCCTTGGAGAATTGAATGGATGCTCTCGGCTGAAAGGCCTTCCTCTCTAACTCAATACTCTGCTAACTTCAGAGCCGCAGGATGGCACCCAGCCCTGGTTCATCAGCAAGCCCCGCTCAGTGACTGCCTGCCTGGGCCAGAGTGTCCTTATCTCCTGTGCCATAGCCGGTGACCCCTTCCCCACTGTGCACTGGCTCCGAGATGGCAAAGCCCTCTCCAGAGACACTGGCCACTTTGAGGTGCTACAGAATGAGGACGTGTTCACCCTGGTGCTGAAAAATGTGCAGCCCTGGCACGCCGGCCAGTATGAGATCCTGCTCAAGTGAGTCTGCATGCCCTGCTGACTTCCTCTAACCCCTCCCCACCCAGTTCCTACCTCCTGGTAAAGTCACTACTTGGGACTGGGAAGCCAGAGGAGCCACAGAAGAATGTGGGGCTGGGCTTCAGGGAAAAGAAAGAGCAGGCTTGGTGCTGCTGACAAGCTTTTGTTCTTCCATCTCAGGACAACAGAGGTTCATTGAGAGCCTTCCCCTCTGAGCTCAATTCCCCAGAGTCCTCCATCTTATTACATCCTGGTTTTGTTCCTCCTATTATTTGGTATATGAAGAATATGACTGAGGAAAAATGGATTAAAATTGGGAAAGCAGCGTTATCTATTGTGCAGGGAATACGCTGTGCTAAGTTGCTTCAGTCACATCTGACTCTTTGTGATGCCATGGACTATAGCCTGCCAGGCTCCTCTGTCCATGAGATTTTCCAGGCAGGAATACTGGAATGAGTTGCCATTCCCTCCTCCAGGGGATCTTCCCGACCCAGGGATCAAACCCTGGTCTCTGACATCTCCTGCATTGGCAGGCGGGTTCTTTACCACTATTGCCACCTGGAAAGTCCCATGAAAGGAATTTGTTATCTTTCACCTTCATACTTAGCAGCTTGAGACAGCAATAATATTCTCACAGTTTATATGGGTTTTGCCTCAGGCTTTTATACAAGGTTGCAATGAAGATGTCATCAGGGGCTACTGCCCCTGAAGACTCAACTGAAGCTTGAGGGTCTACATCTATGATGGCTCACTCACTCACAAGGCTGTTGGCAGGAGGCCTCAGCTCCTGGCCATGTGAACCTCTCCCTAGGGCTGTTTGAGCATCTTCATGACACTGCGGCTGGCCTCCCCAGAGCTGGGGGTCCAAGGGAGACAACTAGGTTCAGTCTCCTATGACCATTCTTCGGCAGTCATTACTTCTGCCACATTCTATCCGTGAGAGATGAGTCAGTAAGTACAGCCCATATTCAAGCAAAGGGGAATTAAGTTCTCCTCTTGGAGAGAGGAGTATCAAAGAGTTTGTAGACATTTAAAACCACTACAGGGACATTAACTGTCCCCATTCATTTCTCCTCCCTTTCAAGGTCTTTCTAGGAAACGTGGGAAGGTAAGGTCCATGAAGGCATGTTGCTATGTTCCCAGTGCTTAGAACATTGTCTGCCCGAAGTCAGCATTTGGTAGCTATTTGTTAAATGGATGTGATCCAGAAATATTTTTCCAACTTTAAAATGCTCTAATTCTTGAAACTCCATGTCCACCCTGGGTTGATGGGGACAGAACACCAGCCCCTAGGGTTGGTATTAACACTGAAGAAGAGCACTTGTCTTTACCATGACTCTGCAAACAGATTTGCCACATCCTGAAGATGGTTGGACTGCTCTGGCTCAGGTGCCTGGCCTCTTTACAAGGGGCTTGCTCTCCTGGATCAATCATTTCCCTGTACTGAACCCACGGTGTTTAGGGCTCTGAGCTATAGACAGGCTCTGTAACCATATGCCAAAGCTACTGCCATGATGGAGCTTTGTTCTAAGTAAGGACAAAACCTAGCATGTGCTCCATCTACTTGGGTCCTTTCTGGGCATGTGCTTTATACTTGAATTGTTAGCTTTTGCTGCATAACAAACCATCCTAATATTTGGTCAGTTTTAGTAAAATAGCCACTTATTACTTCTTGGGCATCTTTGGATCTGCTAGGAAATCCTACTTAGCTGGCAAATCTCAGCAAACCTCACCTGAGGTAATACCACATCCGTGGCAGCTGATGAGATGGTTGTGGGCCAATTGATTATCCTATCACCATCAGCAATATGCTCAGAACACACCAATGGCCTTAGCCTTGTTCCTGAACTAGTTATTATCGGAAAACCAATCTGCCTCCAAAATAGAGAGAAAATAGTTTCTTCCTCTCAGCCAGCGCAAATAATGGAAACTGATTCTGTGTTAGAACAGAGCTTGTCTGTATGAAAGGAACAGTGCTTTCAGACAGTATTCATGTACTCAAGCTAGACATCCTAGAAGAGATGAGTCTTTTGTGGGATTTTGAGGCAAATGAGACAAGTCTCACTGGATAGCCTGAGTGTGAGAGGGTAGGAAAGAGCAGAGCTAGGCTGTGGGAAGCCTGCCAGGCCAGAGTGGAGGGTTGCACTGGGAGGTCGGCAGGCAGACCGTCTGGGCCCAGCTGGGGACAGTCATAAAACTTAGACTGTCTTAGCTGGAAGGGACTTCAGAAGTTACTGAACCACCTCCTTGTTTAATAATGGGGGAAGCTGAGGCCTCAAGGTCATGGTCAAAGGTGAGTAGCAGAGCCCAGACTGGAACCCTCAGCTCTGTCATTAAATCAGATGCTCCTCCATTCTTTTTTTAGCACACTGGGACTTGGGAAACCTGGGACAGGACGTTACACTGGGGTCCCCAAACGTGCATCCCTCACCCATCTTCCCTCCCCTGAGTCCAGTCTCCTCATTCCTTTGGGAGACTGCTCCCTGGCCTTGGCTTTCTCCCCAGTAAGGAGGCAAGTCCATGGAAAATTGCCCTGGGGAGTGTGTGCCAGGCCTGCCAGGGGCTCCTCTGACTTTTCTCAGACCCAGACCTAGAGAGAATCAGACCTGTACCCAGGACAGAATGCCTTTCAAGGACAGAGACTGGGAGGAAGCTGGGCTGAGGGTGGGGGTGGGACAGGTGCTCTCTGTTGCTGCTCTAGTTGGGGGTACATATAGGAGGTTGATTCTTACCTTCCCTCCCCTTCCCTAGTTCTCCTGAACTAAACGGGGAAATGTCAAAAAATCAGCTCCAAATTCTAGCTGAAATATTTGAAAGTTTGATACTTGCCAGGAAATTAGTTCTTTAATTTTGCATATAGAATCCATTTCAGGGATGGGTGATTCATTGTGGGGCAGGGTCCAAGATTTTGTAACCAGAGAGTGGGCTTCTGACTCAGGGCTTAGGAGGTAGGGAGCACAGAGCATTCTGTTGGGTGCGAGAGGTGCCGCTTACAGAGTGACAGCTCCATACCTCTGTGGCAGCACCTGGGCTGGGCATGGGGTTGGGGCCTCAGCCTCAGGCCTGACTTTTTAACTGAGTCTGTGCCGACACCAAAGAGACCCCAAGAGGCTGATCAGCTGTTTAGGTTATCTGGGTGTGGGTGCCAGGTAACCGGCCTCTCTGACCTTTCCACATGAACCCATGATTTGCCTTAAAAGTCTAGCCAAATATTTAAAATGGATAACCAACAAGGACCCACTGTATAGCACAGGGAAGTCGGCTCAATGCTATGTGGCAGACCGGATGGGAGGGGATGGGAGTTTGGGGGAGAAGGGACATATGTATATGTATAGCTGAGTCCCTTTGCTGTCCACCTCAAACTATGACAACATTGTTAATTGTCTATACTCAGATACAAAATACAAAGTTAAAAGAAAAGTCTAGCAGAGATTTCAGTTTGTGGCTGTAGAAATAGTGACCCCTAGATCATGCCAAGAGATGATCTCTTTAGTGGGACTGCTGTAGTATTCCCAATTCTGCCACTTCAGACTGTCTGGGTGCCCCCGCATGAGGCCTGGAGAAGGGTTGGGCAGCAGGCTGCCTGCACCCCCTTCTTCAAGGCAGGTAATATAAAACAACAGAAGCCCTTGCCAGCTTCCCCCGTGGGGAGCTAGAGCTCACTTCAGCTCAGGGGTCAGGGCACCCGACTGTTGAAAGCCTCTGAGGGGCTTGGCTGGGGTGAAGCATGGCTGTGTGGTCAACATCTGCTTCTAAATTTGCATCTGGGCTATGTTCTATTTGTGACAGGAAGAAACTCAGCAGAGGAGATGTTGAAAAGGGCGCCCCGGAAAACACAGCCCTGGGGCACCCTGTCGTCATGCTCCATGCCCACCCCAGACCCTGCACCCTGTGCTTACAAGAGAAGTGGGAACAGAGTGAGCCTTACTAGCCAGCAACCTGGAAGAAGCAGGGTGCTCAGGGGCAAGGCCTCAGCTACAAGTGACTCCCATGGCTATTCTGCGAGTCACCCAAGCCCTGTTAGTTTTCATCCTGCTGATACTGCTGATCCTGCTCATCCTGCTGAGCTCCCAGGATGTTCTGAGGGCCTGAGCCTTCCCAGAGCCTGGTGCTGAGAAGGCACCTAAGTGCTGTCTGTGGGCACTCACACTGCCCACAGCGGGGTGCCTGAACCTTGAATCTGCGCCCCCTAGAGCCCAAGCATTGAGGAAGGTAACCAGCAGGTACCCAGCAGATGAGAGAAGGTTAGGGAGCATGAAAGGCCAACCTCTCCTCTATCAAGTGGGTTCCCAGTGTCGAGGAGCGAATAGTGACCCCCGGGACCCTCAAGAATCATCTGCCACACCATGGGCTGCTGGTGCCTGACCTGGAGCTGGCCCTGCATTGGGAGGGAGGCCCCGCAAAGCAAGGTAATTGCTTGAGTGCATTGGCAGAGCCACAGGAACATGTGCTCAGCTCTCTGTCCATGTGGGGGTAACATACACACGTTCCCAATCATGGACTGACAGGTACAGGTGCCCGTCAGGTAGATCCCATGTACATGTGGCTGATATAAACATATACACATAGACACTCACAAACACACACATGTCCCGGGATAGATTTGTACTGAAGAGCACTGTAGGGTGGGATGGGAAAATTACAAGTCAGGTTCCAACCCTTTTCCCTACTAGCCATCTCTGTGAGTTTAGGTAAAGTTACTTAACCTTTATAAGCCTCATTTTTCTCACCTGTAAGAACTGTTGCTGACACCAGCCTCACAGATCTGTCATGAGTAAGTGAGATGGAATATATGCGATGGATTAGGTCTACGGTAGGACCTGGTGCAGGTGCCAGCCCCTAAAGTGCACATGATATGGACAAGTGCAGGAAATGAGTTGCCCAAGAGCCCAACACTGCAACCTGGAAACCCTGAGTCTCCCCTCCTTCCCTTTACAATGGGCACAAGAATGCTGTGAACCTCACTGGGCTGTTGTGGGGACAAGAAATACAGTGGCTGTGAGTCATGAAAGATGGAGGGTGCTACATAAAACATGGTTATTAGCAGGCAGAGTCGCCTTTGACTATCTGCCTCCACTGCTTCCCCTGGTCTGAGCAGCGCCTTCTTGGGCTGGTCAGAGCCCAGACCTGCCAGCAGATGGCAGCCTTGTGGGATTTGATGGCTGATCTGCTGTAAGCCCAGCACAGCATGGGTATGGTACAGCCCCTTTCCCGAGCCCCTTTCCCCAGCTGGTCATGGACAGTGTTAACACTGGGCTAAAGAATCCCGAGCCCTCTCTGTGACAGATGAAGAAAAAGGGTCACTTGGGTAGGGATTAGAGGGTGTTTTTGTTTCACGAGCAGGTGGAGGGGACCCAGCAGATGGGGGCACCTTGTGAGGAGAAGGAATAACCACCCCAGTATTCAAGGGGCATGGAATGAGACTCAGGGTCACTGGACAAGTTTAGTGGGGCTGCACAATCTAGACCAAGCAGCTCCATCACAGCTCTCAGCAGCTTTAGTCTTTACTCTTTCTTGACTGAGTGTCAATTGTATTATTTTTATAATATACTTACATAAAAGTATTCCTATTTCTGGATGCCTACCTTAGCTGATTCTTTTTTTTTTCCTTTTTAAGCAAGAGCTGGAAAGATAAAGGGTGACCAAAGTCAGGGAGGGCCCTGCCCTAAACCTAGGTCTGGTGTAGGTGTGTTAGGGTCACAGCTCAGTCCATGGTCCCCTCTTCCCTGGAGCCAACCTGTGGCCAAGGTCCTGCCTGCCCTGCCCTCCCTACCGCCCTTGGCCCAGAAAGCCCCTTGATCTGTATTGATCCTTTGAATTCTTCAGGAACCGTGTTGGTCAATGCAGTTGCCAGGTGTCCCTGATGCTACAGAGCAGCCCGGCCAGAGCGGTCCTGCGGTGAGTGTCCCCTGGGGGTTGCCAGGCCAGGCCCCATGCCACTGTCCACCCACCTTCCTCCTGGTCCCAGCAGGCCCAGCTCAGCAGCCCCAGATTGTTTGTATCCTCTAGCTGAGGCTGCCCGAGCCAAGACAGAGAGATTGGAAGGAGAATGAGGGAGGGAGAAGGGGGGGGGGTAAATTTTTTTCTTTTCTTTTTTTTTGCACACACCCTTATAAGGCTACTGAAGTCATTACCGATGTAACAAACCAACTAAGCAAGCAAGCGCCTCTCACCAAAGTTCCCTTCTATAAACACGGCCTGGCCAGCCCCTCTGGCCTCCCCTTTCCTCCGCCCTCCCTCCCTCCCTCGGGGATTTGCTCTCCCTGACGTCTCTTTCTTACCCGGCCCCTTTTTCTCTTGCTACTTTCCTTTCTCCCTTCACTGGTTGCAGGGGGAGGGAGCCTGCCAGCTGCGAGGGCCTCTGTGGCCGAGGAGCTGGTGCTGATGGTGGCGGTGGTGGTGCCAGCTACGGGAGCCTGAGCCCTGGCTGGCCGGCGGCGAGAGGGCAGGGTGCCCCCGCGGAAGACGACGGCGAGGACGTGCGTGGGGTGCTCAAGAGGCGCGTGGAGACACGGCAGCACACAGAGGAGGCCGTTCGCCAGCAGGAGGTGGAGCAGCTGGACTTCCGTGACCTCCTGGGCAAGAAGGTGAGCACGAAGACCTTGTCTGAAGAGGACCTGAAGGAGATCCCAGCTGAGCAGATGGATTTCCGTGCCAACCTGCAGCGGCAAGTGAAGCCAAAGACCCTGTCAGAGGAGGAAAGGAAGGTGCATGGCCCCCAGCAGGTGGACTTCCGCTCTGTCCTGGCCAAGAAGGGGACTCCCAAGACCCCTGTGCCTGAGAAGGTACCCCCTCCAAAACCTGCCACCCCAGATTTTCGCTCGGTGTTGGGCAGTAAGAAAAAATTACCAACAGAGAATGGTAGCGATAACACTGAGGCCTTGAATGCCAAGGCAGCAGAAGGTCCCAAGCCTGTGGGCAATGCCCAACCTTCAGGGTTCCTGAAACCCGTTGGCAACACCAAGCTGGCCAATGCCCCTAAACCTTTGGGCAGCACCAAGCCAGCAGAGACCCCCAAACCCTTGGGCAGCACCAAGACAGCAGAGACCCCCAAACCCTTGGGCAGCACCAAGACAGCAGAGACCCCCAAACCCTTGGGCAGCACCAAGCCAGCAGAGACCCCCAAACCCTTGGGCAGCACCAAGCCAGCAGAGACCCCCAAACCCTTGGGCAGCACCAAGCCAGCAGAGACACCCAAACCCTTGAGTAACGTCAAGCCAGCCGAGACCCCCAAACCCTTGGGTAACGTCAAGCCAGCCGAGACCCCCAAACCCTTGGGTAACGTCAAGCCAGCCGAGACCCCCAAACCCTTGGGTAACGTCAAGCCAGCCGAGACCCCCAAACCCTTGGGTAACGTCAAGCCAGCCGAGACCCCCAAACCCTTGGGTAATGTCAAGCTAGCCGAGACCCCCAAACCCTTGGGTAACATCAAGCCAGCTGAGCCCCCCAAACCCTTGGGTAACATCAAGCCAGCCGAGACCCCCAAACCTGTGGGCAATGTCAAGCCAGCCGAGATCCTCAAACCTGTGGGCAACGCCAAGCCAGCTGAGACCCCCAAACCCTTGAGTAACGTCAAGCCAGCCGAGACCCCCAAATCTGTGGGCAACACCAAGCCAGCTGAGACCCCTAAACCCTTGGATAACGCCAAGCCAGCTGAGGCCCCCAAACACTTGGGCAATGCCAAGCCAGCTGAAATCCCAAAATCCACTGGGAAAGAAGAACTTAAGAAGGAGGTTAAGAATGATGTGAACTGCAAGAAGGGCCATGCAGGGGCCACAGATAGTGAAAAGAGACCAGAGAACCAAGGGACAGCCCCGACCTTCAAGGAGAAGCTGCGAGATCTCCGTGTGGCAGAGGGTCAGAAGCTGCTGCTCCTGTGCCAAGTGTCCTCTGACCCCCCGGCCACCATCACCTGGACACTGAATGGAAAGACGCTCAAGACCACCAAGTTCATCGTCCTCTCCCAAGAAGGTAAAATGGCTGGGGCCGGGAGGAAGGGAAACCCTGCCCTGGTCACTGTCTGCTCCCAGAGCCCTGCTTGTTGACAATGCTCATAGCCCAGAGCTGGGTGGGAAGGGCCGCTTTCTGTGCCTCTCATTCACAGGCTCAGTGGCTGCCCAGGACCTGGGGCACACACTCCACTGCTGGAAGTCAGGGGCGGGAGTCTGGTCCTAGGGCACATTCCCAGACCTCAGCTTCTGTCTGGCAGAGCCGCCTCATGTCACCCCTAGGCGTGGCTCCTCAGAGGAGCCCTGGGTCTGGGCTGATACCCCATCTCTGGCCCAGAGAGGACTCCAATCACAGGCTTGGACATGGGGGCACTAGGGCTGGGACTGGCCGGGGGCTTGGGGCTGAGAGCTGCCTTTGAAGCAGCATTTTTGGTTCAGGGCACGGTTTGTAGTGATGGGATGTGATCTGAGGTCAACAACAACTTGAGTCTTGATAACACTGTGAGTTTAAAGGGACCTGAAGGGGAAGCAGCCAGGCGGACAGAGCCACTCACTTCCTAATTTGGATGAGGCTTGTTTGCTGGTATTTCACATTCTTGGGTTGTGGAGAGAAGGGGGGTGGTGCATAAATCCTGCCATCTGGGGCCTTTCAGCATTTGGAATTCTCAGATGGGCCAGTTTATACCTAGAGAAGAGATGGGAGTGAAAGGGTCTTTTCCCTGACCCCTCCATTTGGTTTGAAATGTTTTCATAAATTCCAGTCCTGAACGAGAGCTCCAAGGATAGCAGGCTTCTCACACCCCACTCTCGTGGCCAGCGCTAGAATAGAGTCTGGCCTGAACTCAAGGCTGAGGCTGGTGGCCCTGGACAGGGCAGGGTACATGGCTCCCTGGGAAGCGACACTTTACCCTTGGGGAGTAGAGGGCGGCCACTGCAGAGGCCCGGGAGGACAAGTCCTGTCAAATCCTGATCAGCTGAGACAGAAGCACTCCCCTGGCTGCACTGCCCTCCTCCTATCCTCTGACAGCACCCCTCTCCACCCCCTCCCTCACCCTTCATCTGGCTTCCTTCCTTCCTCTTTAAAACCCTAATGAAGCACTTGAAGAAAGCATTATCCCTCTCAGCTCACGATGGAGTTTCTCTCTTCACTCTGCCACTCCGACAGCAAATCTGGGCTGGCTGAGTGTTTTGAATCTAACTGCTGAAGGAGTAAAGGGGAGACTGGCCCAGAGAGAGGAAAAGGGTTTATTTTCCACTAATGTGTTGACATGATAGCTTTTCCATGTGAAAATCCTCAGTTTGGTAGGGGCCTCCAGAAGTCATCTGATCCATCCCCCTGTCTCTGCTCATTCTGGCCGTCCACACACAGGAGGGCCTGGGGGATCACCATGATGGGCTGAGATGTCCAGAGCAGTGGATGCCAAGCCTTCCCTGCCACCTCTGTCAGCCTGTCCTGGTTGGAAAGTGTAGGCATAAGACTGACTCAAAACCTTGACCAGGAGTATTTCCCATCTTATCCTGTGGTGACCTCTCAGAGCAGGACGGAAAGCGAGCTGCTGCCATCCTGGGGACAGGTGTGGTCCCACAGGTCTGCTCACGGTGAGGGGCATGGCTGCACCACCCTTAGGGAAGCCAAGGTTGGCACAGCTGAGGACAATATCCACAGCCGTACAGCTGTTCTGGGACCTATGTAGAAACTGCAGAGCCACCAAGAGCTGCTTATAAACAATTCACTGGACGAAGCGGTGAAAGCAGACCTCAGCCCTGGTCTCAGGCACACCCCCAAGCCCTTAGGCACAGGCTGCTCATGCCCAGGGTGCGGGGTGGGTCGTATCTGCTGGGCACCGAGAGCCTTTTACACTGGCTACTCCAGTATTGCCTCCCACAGAAACCACTTCAGATGGACAGTTTAGGTCCAAAGCTGAAGAAGAAATGATTTTAAAAGGCCAGTACAAGGAGAAGTTTGGTGAGGGGACAGGATTATAGAGATAGCCCCAAGTCCAACCTTTAAAAATATTCTAAATATTTGTAATTCCACTTTGAAAAATAAGAATAGCTTGCATTCATTGAACACCACGTGCCAGATACTGACCTAGGCTTCTTATTCTTTTCACTCATTTAATCCTTGTAACCAGTATACTGCCCTTGTAACAGAGAAGTTAACAGCTCTGCCAGAGGTTGCACAGCTAATTAGTAACAGAGCTGGTCTTGGAATATAGGCAGTTGAGTTCCAGTGCCTAGACCACTCTGCTCCATCACATCTTAGTTATTATAATTCTTGTCAGCATGTCAGCATGCTGGTCCTTCCCTGATCAACTTCCCCGAGAGCGTTGCCTATGAAGGGAAAAGGCTAATGACTGTTCATTCCTCGACACTGTCAACAGTTGTCAAGAGGCTGGAAGACTGGTGGTGGGCTCTGGGCTGGTGAGTTTTGGTGTTTTCACTGCAGTGGAGGAAGCCCACCTTGCAACGGGCCTGCTGTCTTGCCAAGGTAGGGAGGGGGCTTGGTCTCAGAGCAGCAACTGCACTCTGTCCACCATCCCTTCTCTAGCGCTTCACTCTCGAAATCTTCAGGAGCCCAGGTCAAACACACACCCAGGAGAAAGCCTGGGGTAAAGCCTTGTCAGTGACCGCTTCCACAAACCCCACTGCAGGGAGTAGAGCCTCTGAGAGGTGTGAGTGAATCTTTTCTCAATAGACCTGGAAGGGAGGACACATGCACACAGTGATAAACCTCTTCCAGCCAAGTGCCGGTGATGAGCAGGAGAGGGAGCTGAGTGCTGGGCCACAGGGAGAGGCTGGTGGTGAAAGGGCTGGACCTTGATCTGAAGCGTGGAGGCGGGCAGGACTCCCAGCAGGGAGGGTGTGGACTTCCCAGATAGGAGCATGGACAGCAGCCGAGGAGGCCGGCTCCCCGCTGCCAGCATCCTCTAGGCTGGAGAGGGAGGTGAGGTCCATTCCATCCTCTACCATACTGAAGAACTCAATTCTAAAGACAGTAGGAGCCCTGTAAGAGTTGGGAAGGGTAGTGATAGACACAAAGCTGGGATTTAGGGGCTTTGATTGATTCTGTGCCCAAAGACAAGGAAAAGGCGTCCTGAAGAGGTTGGGGAGAAACATGGTGAGGCCTGGACTAGCAAGGTAGCCATGGCCACAGACAGGAAATGACCGGTTTAAGAAGCAAGGGCAGAGTTAACAGAACCTGGTGCCTAGGTTGGAATGGGGTTGGGGGCAGGGGGTGGTAAGGAAGAGGAGGGTGTTCAGGACCACTGAGTGTCTGTGAGGGGGTGACTGGGTTGTAGTGATGGCATCAGTGGAAATAAGGAAGCTGGCATTTTGAGGTGTTTGTAGGGAGAAGGGGGTTGCTAAGTGGGTTTCTCCATCCTTCACACCCCACTGAGTATCCTCTCGACCCCCACCTCCCTGACTCAGCACCCTTCTCGCTCCACTGCACTGAACCGTGTGCTGTTCCCTCGACTAAGATCAAGGTTCACTTCCTCCAAGCCTCGCTCCCAGACTGTGGTCCCCAGGCCTTTGGCCATGGCAGACCCTTGTGCTCTCCCGCCATCAGTGTGCACGTCTGTGACCTGCTGCTAGTGGATACTGTTTATAGGTTTCAAGGGGAGCTTCTCTGAACTCTGTAGCTTGAATAGGGCTCATAGCCCATGGGCCCCACAGAACATGATTATGTTCACTCCATCTAGTGCCAAGAGAGCAGAAGAGGTATGGTAACAGTCAGTTGAATTGACTGCATTCTTTTTTGTTTGTTTGTTTTTTTACTGCATTCTTGGAGGGACTCGTGGAAGTGTCCTTGCTTTTCCTGCATCTCCCAGAGCTACAGGGCTCACTTACAGCAACTGGGCCTGCCCTTGGGCCTGCAGAGTGGCCTTACCAGGCCCTTCTGGACCTGCAGCAGAACTGCTCAGGCCTTGGCCCAGGACTGGGAGGCCGGTGGCCAGACAGGGAGCTCTGTGCTGCTGCTGAGAATTTCTTTCATCTTTATGCCTTATTTTCTGTCCCCAGGCCAGGTTTCTTCCCCCAGCAAACATTTCTCCTCATCTATTAATGAGAATTCATTTTCGTTGTGTTGTCAATGGGTGATTCATTTTTTATTGCCATTAGTGTGGGATCTTGCAAAGGCTTTTTCAAAATCTATATAAGTCCATCCCACAAAACACAAGGATCTACACCGCACTTACTATGTGTAAGGCAGTATTCCAGCCCATTTCATTGGATGCATAATCCACTTGAAGAATTCTGAGTTAAGAATTTCTTTCCCTTTTAGAAACCGTATTATCTCTTTCAAGGGTCAGTTATGTTCGATCAAGTGTTCATGACATTTTCTTGCATAGATCCTACCAAATCACCTGTTCCAGAAATATGCCTTGGTCATTCTCAGAATGATTTTTTTTTTTTGACTGACGGTGTTCCAGGCTCAGGAAAAACATTCACAATAGTCACAGGCACTGCCCTCCAACAGCTAGGGTGGGAGAGAGGCATGTGTTTAGTAATGGCCTTGGGAGGTGAACTCAGTGCATAGAAGAGGCCTGTCTATGGCTGGGGGTGTTTCAATATGGCCTTGTCCCCGAAGAGGTGACCCAGAGCTGAGTAGCACTGTCCTGATGAGCTGGGGCACTGACACAGAGAACAGCCTCAGCAGAGCCTCTGGGGCTTGGGACCACTCCCTCCACCTCACACACCCCACCTCCCCTCTCCCCACACTCAGAACACAGGCAGGATGAGGGGAGGGGGCCTTCAGACTCTGTGACCTTGAGGGGCTCTCCCAAGGAGGGTTCTAGCTGAGCCATTCATTGGATCCCTTGTTCCCATCCCCCTCACCTTCTCAAAATTCCCCACCAGACTGAGGCGTCTCAAAAAAACTCTGGGAAATGGTTTTTCTTCTGGAGGTCAGGAATAAGCTGTCCCACAGGAAATACCAGATTCTTCAATCTGGGCTAGCCCAGCCTCCAAGCCTGCCGGGGGCCCTCCCCCAACCCACACACATGGCCAGGGGTCTAGGCTCTGAGCAGCTCGGAAAAGCTGCCTTTGTGATATCCCACCCATCCCCCCACCTCCCACCCCAGCCCCTGCCGTGAAGGGTGAGGGCTCTTGTCTACATGTTCCACCTCTTCTGGGGTCTCACTACTGTTTTGTGCCATTTTGATTTAAGGCTGAAGGCAGCTGGGGGACTGAAGCTGAGAGACAGTCAGAGATTCGACCAGGAGGTTTGTTGGGAGTGGGCCTTAGCCTCAGACTGAGGAAAAATGGCAGGATGGGGTCCGTGTCTTCTAAGCCTCAAGTTTGGAGGCCAGAGGTCATCTTCTCATGCCCCTGCCTCTCGGATGAATGGAAACTTCTCTCTCTAGAAGATAGTTTCTCTCATTCCCTGATTTCTGTGCCTCATAGTTCTCACTTTCATGACAGAATTCCTAAAAATCCAGCCTAAATCCTTTCTGTTGCAGTTTCTGCAAATTAACCACAGGGGACAGAGACCCTGAGGCATTGCTGTTCGCTGTAGGACAGTGCAGGGAGGCCCTGCTGAAGGATGGGGTCTAAATGAGAGTGTAGGAGGGAGGGGGTGCAGATCAGCCATCCTGACCCAGGGAGTTGGTGGAACTGAGGTTTCCCTGTTGAAGACTTCACCCAGGTGCCAGGAAATAAACAACGCTTCTATCTCGCTTTCTCCTCCAGCCTTGGTAAGATTCTCTGTGCAGAACTGACGTCACCCTTCCTCTCTCCGAGTGTCCTTGTATTTGTTGGTCAAGTCTGTGTGTCTGTCTGATGGGGGCACAGGTACTTTTTCGATCAAAGGCCGTGCCTCTGCACATTCACACCTGGGATGCATAGAGCTCTGCTGGCTCAGGACCAGTGACTTGCGCCGGGCAGTGTGGTGGAGAGGGAGATGGCCAGAGCTCTAGATGGCAGGATGCGCATGGCTCCGGCTGTGTCCTCTTCTTCATGTGATGACAGCTGCCATGACAACAGGCCAGCTTCGAGCAGGATGCCGTGCTGCTGGCTTGTGCGTGTGTCTGATGGCAGGAGCGAGAGTACTGCTGCCCCCCTGCCTGGCCCAGCAGGCCCAGTCCTCAGGTGGTCTCTCCCCACACCCTCAGGGAAACTCCCCAAAGGGGTCCCTCAGAGAAGGAGCCAGTCCTGGGATGAGAGAGCCAGGGTAGGCAAGGACCAGACTCCTGAGTATACACCCAACCTGACCCTTCCTTCCCTCAACCAGGCCGGAAGAGGCGTGCTGGGGCAAGACCCGTGGAAAAGAGAGCTGTCCCATCCCTCTCGGAGGGGACCAAAAGACCCTCCCCTGGGGGAGGCAGCCCCTCAGTGCCCCTCTCCCAGCCCAGGGCCCCTCGTCAGCCAGGAGTGTCAGCACAGATACCACTCCTGAAAAGCCAGCTCCAGGGTCCCTGGCTGGTCTCTGTCTCCTTCCAGCAGATCTGCCCACAGGCCAGTGTCCCTGCTGGGCAGGGGTTCCTGCCCTCCCCCACTCACCTGTTTGTTCAGAACGTCCTTTTCTAGAATGCATTCCCAGAAGCATCACGGTAAGCTGGTGGAGCGTCCTCACCGGCCTCTGTCCCTACCACAGTCTGGGGCCCTGAGCTTGTCTCTCTGGTGACGTCCAGTGCGAGGGCCTGGGTCATCTGCCCCTTGTATTGTGCTACTGCCTTCCAAGGGCAGGGGCTATTTCTCTCTCTTCTTCTTAGCTTGCTATTGTGTATTTCTATGAGAGAACTCGCTGGAAGCGAGGGTTGGGTGTATTTAGGGATCAGTCATCTTGCATCTGGGCTATCTGTGGGCTTTGATGAGGAGAGTGAGTTGGTTCCCACGGGACCTGTGACTTCTGGGCTCCTGAGGATGCCTGTGTGAAGCACACTCACTGTGATACTCCTAGTGCTGGGCAGATGTTGGGCTCAGACCTGGTCCACTCAACACTTCTTCCTCCCCCACACAGGTTCCTTGTGCTCCGTCTCCATCGAGAAGGCACTGCCCGAGGACAGAGGCTTATACAAGTGTATAGCCAAGAACAGTGCCGGTCAGGCTGAGTGCTCCTGCCAAGTCACCGTGGACGGTAGGTGGTACCCACCCACCACAGCCCCACACAGAGTCCCACTTCTCAGCGCCCACCATCCCTGAACAGACCTGCACCCAAAGCTGCCATCCCTACCAGAGGCATTCTCATCGTGGGTGACAAACCATCTTTTGCAACATGAGACAGAAAGGGAAGTGGCAGCTCTGCTTGATGGCTCCTTGTGGCCTTGCAGCCCTGCCCTCAGCTGGGAGGAGGGCTGCTTACCTTGTGGGCCCCCTCCCCGGTCCTAACTGCCCCCCCATGCCAGGCAGGGAAGCCGGACACAAGACAGGAGGAGAAAGGAGAGAAGACACACCCACAGGAAAATGACTACATAGGGTTTTACAAGCTGAAACAAACAAGTGTCAGTGCGGCTGGGCAGACCCGTGAGGAGGCAGAAGAGTGGGGTCCAAGTGGGGGCACTTCTTCCAGGAGGTGAGTCGGGGCTGAGGCCTTGGGTAGAAGGGACAGGCCTGCCTCTGTGATTAGAGAGGAATAATCATAATGTAACAGAGGGAGGGGATGAGAGCTGTGAGGGCAGAGTCCTGCCAGGTCTGAGTGGAGCTTCCTGGGAGGAGGGGGCGAGTCCAGTCCTGTGGGGATCTGTCTGTCCTAAAGGCACACGGGTGGTGTGTTTGTGAGTCTCCTGCTCTCCTCTGCGTAGGTTAGAATTGTGTTTGGAAGGAGATTAGATGGTTTAGGCCACCACCTCCACTTGATATGACAGGACACTGGGCCATTCAGGGAAGGGAAAGTGTCCCTCATGGGGTTTCCTGCTCTATTAGGGCCAAGCTAGGGCCAGAGTCCCATCTTGGCACTCACATCCAGGGTCCATTCTCAGTATTTTGTTACTTTCCTGCAATAACCTACAAAGGTAGTTAGGGGAAACAATTTCTTGCCTTTGAAATGCCTGGTTAGTAACTATCAGTGACATGTTAGAAGCTAGTGTCCAAATAAGGCATCTTGAAGACCAGCTTTGTTGTTCCTCTGACTGTGAACACGATCACTTGACTTCTAAACTCCTAACCTGTTTCACAAGATGTGGAATCGTTGTCTCTGTTCTAGATATTGTAATGTGATTTCCTGATCATGAAAGCCAAGATCGTGATACACAATGAGCGGGAGAAAAGGAGGAGAGTCTTAACAACCAAAGTCTTTAAACACACACACGCAATGGCAACACAAATTAAATTGTCAGTTGCCAATAGTAAACCTGAGTTTGTAAAATGCTGTGTGTGTTTCCCTGGAGTTCTGTGAATGTGTTTGTCACAGATGTTCTGAGTTCAAGGGAGCAGATTCGATGGGTGGAAGTGTACAGTCAGTTCAGAAGGGGGTTTGAAGCATGTGTTTTGAGGCTAAGGGGCTGCTGCTCCTGATTCCTCCTGTCACCCACCCAGGTCAGATCCTATTTCTTTCTAGACAGGTGTTGCAGAATAGTGTTCCTGGAAACTTGGCCTCAGAAGCCTATTTCTAACAGCCCACACTTGGGAACCATGATGATTTCAGAAGGAAGCCCCTCTTGCTGATAAGGTTATCTGCTTTTGGAATCCCTGGCCTCTTTAGGTCCTATTTACATGTCCAGCTGAAGGCAGGACAGCAATTCATTCTTATCTGCAAAGTGTCAGCACCTTTTCCAGAAAGAGCAAAATGGTTTATTTTTAAAACCAAACTTGTTTTCAAAAGTAAAATTTCCTTTTTCCTTACAGAATATATTTGGGGATATTTTTAAAGATTTGGGGAATTCATTCTGCAACTCAAGGCGCTTTTGTTGCCCCTAAGTTGGTCTCCTTAGTAGACTCCCTTAGTAGACTAATAGACTCCCTTACTGTCTCCATGAACCTTGACCATCATAATTTATCTGTGGTTTCTTTGGAGGGGCCCTTGCAGGGTTTGGCCTCAAACTACAGATTGGGAGTTGGGTCTTAGGAGAAGAGCTAGGAAAGGGAAAAGAGGGAAACCAGGTGAGATAATAGGGCTGACTTCAGGTTAACTGGATTTTGTTTTATATTTTTTCAAAGGGAAAAAAGGATAGCCCCTTCCACAGCCACCTTCTTTTCCCTGTTGCTACACATGGAGATATGTTCTTGTCCTGCATGTGAGTTGCTTTATTGCCACATTTAGCTTTATCTTTCCATCAAGAGCCACCTCTGAGCCCTTGGTAAAGGACTGCAGACTTCTGAGCTGCTCCCTGGCCCCCTTTCAGCATCTTTCCCACTGCGCTTCTCTCAGCTGAATAGGCTTTGAGTCCTGCTCTGTCCCCTGATCCTCTCAGCTCTCCCCACTCCCTTACTCAATAATACCTGGTGGTAGTACCCAATGGGTCCATGCACCCTTTGATGTTATAGGCAAATTTGTGTGTGTTTGTGGATTAGAGCATTTTTTAAAAGAGTCCATAGTTTTTAACCAAATTCTTAAAATAAGTCATGAATTGAAATAGAGTGAAAAACCACTTGCCCTAAGAAGTTACCTTGACTGAACTTTTAAGCCCAGTCATTGTGCAGGGTCTTCCATTTTTCTCCATCTTCAGCTGCCCGCTACATCTCTGGATAAGACATGTCTTGCATCCCTCCTAAGGGGCTGCAAGGTCCCTCTCCACTAGAGGTGAGGAACACAGCTGCTACCGATGTCAGACTGGTCTCGCCCCTGACAGTCACTCACCATCATCCAGGTAGCCTGTGCTGGATACCACTTAGACTCTATGTCTGTGGCCAACAGAATGATATATTTCAAGACCTCATGAAAATGACTTTGGCTCATTGGCTGTTCTGTATTAGCCACACTGCTGCCTCCCTCTTACAGTAGAGACACAGGGAGGTAGCCTTTATATCGCAGCACATCTGGCTTTTAATCCTGCTGCTTTGGTGCTCTGTGCACTGTCTTGATTATGGTCATGCTGCCATTCCATTCAAGGTAGCAGCAGGCATGTCAGCTTGTACTGCAGAAAGCAGCTGAAGCCTGAAGTGGGTAAGGATTTGTCAGAAAAACCCTAACGAGAAGAAAAGGCTGGGCTTCAAGGCCTGCCATGGCCAAAATCTCTTGTGCATTTTTAGTTTATGCAACAACTGGGCAGGATATCCTTCTCATTGGGAAAACCCAGGTTCAGTAAGGGTCAGAAGGCTTCCCCAGTCACTCAGACAGTACAAAGAGATGCCGTGTCCCTGAGTGTCTCTGATTCCAAAGCCCAGGCCCCCCGAGCCACCCTGTTCAGGTAACTCACCCAGCATGAGTTACCCTGGCAGGACTCGAACCCAGGTGTGTCTGGTTCTGAAGTCTGCACCTTTCTCTGGGCTATGTGGCGCCCCTGTATAGTGAATAACACTGAAGTTTCCACTGTCTGACACAGCCAGGTCTCCCTTACTAATAGCCTTTCTTGCTAGGAAATCCTGCACCTCTGTGAGTGGCCCAGGTGAGAGGTGAGAAGGCAAAGCCCTTTGTAGGCCCCAACTCCAAGACAGGGCAGCTCTAGCCACCCTGCCCAGCTGCCCTGCCAGGGGCTTCGGGCCTCAGCCACCTGTGAGATCAGCGGTTTCACAACCATGGAGGGTGGTGCGTGTGTGGGTGGGGGATAGTGTTCCAATGGGCATTCGTTCAGCCAGTATGTAAGCCAGTGCCCACCCTGCCAGGCAGTGCCCCTGGGGCTAGGGTTCAGAGCAATGAATGAAACAGAAGATCCTGGTCTCAGAGCCTTTACACTGGAGTGAGGGAGAGACAAAAACACGGACAAGCAGATAAGTCCTACAGTCTCAGGTGATGACACGTGCTGTGGAGAAAGCAAAACGGGGCAATGGGGAGGGTGAGGCCTGTCTGAACAGAGGCCTGAAGACGTGTGGGAAGGAGTCTCAGCAGTAGGAAGGAAGAGTAAGGGCAGGAAGCTCAGCCCTGAGCTGAGGCTGTGAGCAGGCGCTCCCAGAAAGAGAGGTAAGGAGGCCAGCGTGGCTGAGCACCAGGCCAGGGGCAGAGTGTGGGAAATGAGGCTGAGGACCTGCAAGGTCATGTGGGCTGCAACAGGACACCAGATTTTATTCTAAGTGAAATGGGACAACATTGGACATGGTAAAGGATCCCTCAGGTGGTGACCAGACCCAGGAGGAGGTGAGGAGAACAGGTGCGAGGTGGCCGCGATGTCCAGGGAGCTTAGACTCCATGGAAGAGGTGGGAAATGACCAGATTGATCATGTTCTGACAGCACAGCTGTTAGGATTTGCTGAGGAACTGAAAAAAGAGAGAAAGGGAAGTCAAAGGTAACCCTTAGTTTTTGTGAGAGAGCACATGTCAGTGGTGGTACCAGCTACTGAGGTTAGAATGTGGGGTGGTAGGGTGAGGGCAGAGTCAAGTATGTGAAATTTAAGGGGTCCATAAGACATCCATAAGATATCCAAGGGGGTTTGTCACGTTGGCTGACATTTAGACGAATCTGGAGTTGAGGCAGGAGTCAGGGTTGGAGGCAGGATATGAGGAGTCAGCTGCATGAGACCATTGAATGTCCTAGGATTAAATGGGGTCCCTAAGGGTGGATGTGGATGGCAGAGAAAAGGAGAGAGCCCAACACGAGAAACAGGGCAGGATAGTGGTCTGCAAAGGAGACAAGAGGATTGGCTGCCATGAGATAGGAAGAAATCGAGGAGAGAGGGTTGTCCTAGAGGCCAGAGAGTGATCATTTCCACAAGAAAGGATGATGGAGGTCAATACGTCAGATGCCCCTGCCAAGCAGAATAAGATGAACCTGAGCATTGGCCTTTGGATTTGGCAACTTGGGGTGGTTTGTAACTGTGATAAGGGAGTTTCAAGCCTAACTTGTGGTGTATGCAGCTAACAACCTATGCCTTGGCTCCTAACTGCTGCAGTCCACTGCCACTATGGCCAGGTAACTCTTCTGATTGCTGAACTGACTTCGACCCACTCTTCTTTTCTTGGCTTTGATCTGCTATCACTCCCATTTGTTCTTTATATCGACTCAGGCAGCTAATGTGTATTAGGCTGAACTAAATCAAATTACCATTTTAGCAGGTCAAAAGCACCTGAATATTGGCAAACCGTATGGTTCAACCTGAAACATGGGTATAAAGTACTTAGCATCATACCAGGCATGAACTGGGACTTCCCAGGTGGCACTAGTGGTAAAGAACCTGCCTGCCAATGCAGGAGACATAAGAGACATGGGTTCAGTCCCTGGGTTGGGGAGATCCCCTAGAGGAAGGCATGGCAACCCACTCCAGTATTCTTGCCTAGAGAATCCCATGGGCAGAGGAGCCTGGTGGGCTACAGTCCATGGTGTCTCAAAGAGTCAGACATGACTGAAGCAACTTAGCACAGACACCCAGGCATGGACTAAGTACCCAATAAATGCCAGCTGTTACTCCACATCTCATCCCCTCCTCTGGGAGGTGTGGCTATTCTCATTTTCCTGGTGAAGAAGATCAGGAGCTTGCCCAAGGCCTCATGGTCACCGGCCTGCAGAACTGGGAAGATGCTCATTCTGGTCCGACCTCTCCCCCTAGTCTTGCCAGCATGCTGCTTGCTCTGGGCAGAGAGAGAGAGGCTAGCCCCGCTGCCCTACCCATTCTGGGGGCTCCTGGAAGCTCAGAAACCTCCCAGAAGCCTCCCAAGACATCGTTCCCCCTACTGAGAGTTGCAGCTCTGGGAGTGACCTCTCTTAGGGGAAATAGAAGGAGAAAGGCTGCAGTGGAGCCTAAGCCCAGAGCTAGCCCAGGAGTGGAAGGGGTGAGGTGTTGTCCATATAAGGATGTGTATTCCTCTCCATGTCAAGGCCCCCCATCTCCCCACACCACCACCTTCCTCCCCCGTGCTTCTTTGGGGGCACAAGCAGGCCAGCAAAGGACTTCCAGCTCTGGGGCCCAGATCTAGAAATGGAGTTCAGTTTCATCACAAGCTGATTAAAATAGACAGAAAATACATGCTGCTCTTAAACTTTTATAACTATTATTTTTATCCCCCGGGCAGCCGTGTGAGCACAAAGCTGGTTCTGATTAAGCACATGGTCCTCCCAACCCACTCCTTGCTGTGGTTCTCATGGACAGACTGACAGTTAATGGCTTGTGGTGCAGGCACAACCCCCAAGGGGGTGGGGGTGCTGCAGAGGAAAGAGGGGGCTCCTCCCACCCCTGCAGTGCTCCACATCTGCAGGAGTGCCTGGTTTGACAGTGAAAGTTGAGCCCCTTTCCCCAGGGCCAGATGGAAAGATAAGTCCAGGGAACCTCTACAAACAAAACTCAAAGCACATACAGTTGTGTCTGACTCTTGGCGACCCCATGGACTGTAGCCCGCCAGGCTCACAATTCACTGTAAAGCAGTCACCCACGCACTGAGGACGGATGCAGAGGAAGGAAACATAGAGCAGGGTCGCCGGGAAGGCTTTCTGAAGGGGGTAGATTTTAAAGTGGATTTGGGAAGGAGGCCAGGCAATGTGGCAAACAGGAGAAGTGAATGAATAGGTAAATGATCACCATTGCATGCCTTCTTTCCCTAGAGTCTTGCAGTGCTGCAAGGCAGAGAAAATAAGTGTCATTTCCTTTGTACAAATGTGGAAATAGAGACCCGGAGCATGATCCCAGGATTGCTGATGACAAAGGCGAAACTAGAGCCCTCCTCTCTCCTTCCTGACTCTAGTGGTGCTCAGAAGCAAAGCCCACCACAACCCCACGAGGAGAGAAGGAATCTCAGTCCCTGTCTGCCTTTGTTCAGGCACTCAGGGAGACTGGGCCTCTCATCCTTTGCTTGCTTGGGCCTCAGTCTCCCCATCATTAAAATAAAAAGTCTTGATCCTTCTTTACCTCCCTCCTCTGATGCCCTGGAACTCACTGGGAAAAAGATGGCAGGAAGAGTGCTAATGCCAAGGAAAAGAGGACTGTGTGTACCTACTCTGTCCTTGCCTCCTCTTCCTTAAAAGGGGGGGAAACAAGAAATGTCTGGGTGTGCCTTTCTTTGATTGTTATTGGTGCTGTCAATGCTGGTCTGGAAGGAAGGGAAGAAGGGAGGGCCTTAGACAAGGGAAACTAGACTCATCTCATGACCTTGGTTTATGGCAGCCTCATCCACAAATGTCAAGGGAAGCATGGACAGGTTTTCCTGACTCTAGCAGTAGTCCCTGAAACCCGCCCCTACCTCTGCTCTCACCCACATACCCACCCACCTGAGGAGAGAGACTAGCAGTTTTCAGCCTGGCAGCATATTATTGACACCTAGCCCCTCCACCCATACCAATCAAGTTGGGATCTGGGGAGTGCGATACCAAGGTACAGGTGCTTCTAATGGGCAGCCAAGGTTGAGAACCAAAGGTTGATAAATATGTACTGAGGATTTTTCTGTAGATGACAATGACCACTATGTCCCGGGAGAATACTCAATAAGAGAAAGTGAAATCATCCCTTCCCCATGGCACTTCCTGCTCCTTCATCCCTGTCCACACGGAGACCAGTGTGGGGGCAGCCCACTGAGGAGACAGGACACAGACCATGTCGCTACAGGTGGCGGGGGCTCTGACTCATCATCTGGGGCTTTTTGGCTCTTACAGAAGGCGGCAAAGGATAACACACAGCTGGGAATGGCAGCAGGGCAGGGGGATTCCTGGATTACCCAGCTAACAAAGAGTGGGCCGGCCTTGGGTTAGGAGGGAAGTCTACTGGTATAAAGGAATATATAGGGACGGACCCACATACTAGAGCAGGAGAGGAATCCAATGCCATCTAGAAGGAGCAATGCATCCTGAGAGTAGCACTGAGTCTGCATGCCGGGGGAGTCTGCATGCTGGGCTAGAGTGCCCAGCCCCTAGTTCTGTGCTTGTGTGCCCACCCGCCAGAGCCCCTAGTGTCCAGTATAGCAGAGAGCACGTGTTAGCAGCCAGGATTGCCCCACTCTGGAGGAGGGACAGGGAGATGGCCCTTCCTCACCAGCCAAGCCACAGGAATGTGGCCAAGCCTCAGCTGGAAAGTCCCACCCCCTCCTTTCTCCCTAGTACTTCCTCTTCAGGGGCAGGAAGACGATGCACAGGAAGGGGCTCTGAGTGGGGGAGGCTCCCTCCTAGCATGGTCTCTGAAGGGAGTTCCTTGTGGGGAAAATACTGGAATCTAGTGATAGTGGTATAGCCAGCTACCGCTACCTTCTTATCCTGGTCCGCGGGCAGTTTCCCTGCAACTTGCTCCATTCTGGTCTCTTCAAGGCCCAGTGAGGGCCTTTTCCTTTTCCACTCAGCCCAGCCCAGCACTGTGTTACCCTTGGCAATTTAAAAACAAAAACAAAAAAAGCACAATGTGAGAGTTGCAAGTTAAGCTTTATTTAGGGCAAAATGAGGACTATAACCCAGGAGACAGCACCTCAGATAGCTCTGAAAAACTACTCCAAAGAGATGGGGTGGAAAGGTAAGTATATATGAAATTTTGGTGAAGGGTGAATACATGCAATCAAACACATATTTTTCCAGAAGGTTTCTGCTAGTCTTGTGAAACTTGTGCTAGTCACCAAAAACAGTCATCCCCATGAAGGATTTTAGTGTTTTTCTAGATATGAGGAGATACAAGAATTGGGCTCCTAAAATTTGCTCCTGAAAATATGTTTATCTGAAAATGTATCCTGCCAGTTTCCTACACCCTGCCCTCCCAGAGCACAGAGTGCCTCAGTTCTGCTCTCCACTCTGAACTCCTTTCAGGAGGTATTGGAGGTCAGCAGCACATTATTGAATCTTTGTGGAGGTAGAAGGCAAGAGCCTATGCCAAGTGCCAGTTTGTAGTTGACACCCTGCTGCCAAGGGGGGGCTTCCCCTGGCATCATCCACACTTGGCGTGAATGTGAAGAGGGAGAGTGGAGGACAGGCCTGAGGAGTCATGTAGCATTTCAGCTCTGCCCAGAGGCTACCACTGCGGGGTTCCACTGAGTTCACTTTGGGGAGGATGCAGAAATCCCCATGACAGGCCCAAGGTTCAGTCCAGAGCGAGTGAGGCATGCCGACTGCCTGCTCAGAGGCCTCCATCTGATCTGGAGGTCTGACTATCAGTGCTCTTGTTCCAAGGGAGTTACAGCAAACGGAGGCCTCAAGACCCCTCCAGATCGTGAGCCCAAGGGCAACCATCCTGTGCCCTGCTTCCTCGGTTTAAGAGAACTCTCTGCACAGAGCAGGCTTCTGGAAGTCCATAATGTTTAGCCCAAATGGGTTAAGACCCAGTGAAGGGAAAGGCAGGGCCTGGGTGAGCAGAGGGCACTGCTGATGTGATTCTGCTGGCCCGCACCCACAGCAGAGGTGGAAGTGCTCACCAGCTGCCAGGGTAGCCTGTCCATACTTCTTCAGGGGGACTGTGCTCTGCACTTGATGTATAAGGCCTGGTGGCACAACTGCTCCTTCTTTGGTGCTCTTGATGCCAGCCCAGGTGCCATCTGCCCCACAGCACGAAGGGCCCTCCGAGTGGAGCAGGTTGGGGGGACTATCGTGGTGGTGGTGGAGGTGGGATTTTTATTGCAATGTTTCTTCTGCTTCTTTCCCTGGGTGGCTGCTGACTCATGTTTGTTGTTCCCATTTAGTTCCAGATGCCCCCGCTAGCGAGAATGCCAAGGCCCCGGAGATGAAAGCCCGGAGGCCAAAGAGCTCTCTTCCTCCAGTGCTGGGAACAGAGAGTAAGTACCTGTTCAACTCTTCCAGGCGAGCCCAGAACCAAGGGCCGCCACTGCCTTGCCCGTGCTCCGCAGAACCTGGCCTCTGTCCTCACCCTGGTACCCCGTGAGCTCTTGATGACCCTCCTCACCCCTCTCATGTCTTCAGGCCTGAGGACATCCACGTCCTCTGTCAGCCCCACTCAGGCCCCACCTGACCCCTGGGAGACCATCCCCTAGTCTCTCTCAGCTGTCTTTCCTGCCGGATGCACCTTCTCCAGGGAGGGCTCTGACCAGATCAATCCCAGCTGGAGTGCCCAGTCACCTGCAGAGCCCACCAGCCCCGTACGAGTGAACCTTTCCAGGTGGCCGCCCTGGCACACCTGCCACACATGCACACCCCTTCTGACATCGCACCTCAGCCTTTCCTTCTGAGTGCTGCCCCGCCCCCGGCTCCTTTCTCCTGTTTTATCCTCAAGGCAAGCTGAGCTCCTCTGCGTGCTCCAGCCATCCGTGTGCTCCTCCCCTCATGCCTTTGCTTGGGCATCTCTGCCTTCAGACAGACTCCCACGGAAAAGCTGTCTCATCCCTGAGTTTGTCCTTGCCCTTCCTGAAAGGAGCTCTTCCCTCCTGTGAGCCCCCGTAGTCCTCAGCACCCACTTCTGCCAGGAGGCTGTCTCTTTCCCTGTGTCATGGTGACATGTCTGTCTCATCCTCCCTCCTACTTCGTAAGGTCATGGGGCCAACTCAGGGGCGCGCCTTTCAGGATGATGGTGCTGTGACCTATTCACAGAAGGGCCTTACCCACATCTTTTGGAATCAGCTGTGGTCTAAACAGCTGAGCAGGAATGGGGCTTTTTCTGAGACTCTGCATGGCTTTCTCCCTGTTTTTGGATCTCGGCTCCTCCAGGATCCCCTCATCTTATGGGGGTGCTTTTACAGGCCCACAAAAATGTTTTAATATCTTATAAAATTAGGAAAAGAATTAACTTTTAGATTAAAGAAGATGTTTTAATCTTTAATATTAATATTCATCTTTATACCAATGCAGTTATAAAATGTAACTTACATATATCCATATATTTTTTTTTCTTTAATGAATGAAAGTGAAAGTGAAGCCTCTCAGTTGTGTCCAACTCTTTGCGACCCCATGGACTGTAGCCTACCAGGCTCCTCAATCCATGGAATTTTCCAGTCAAGAGTACTGGAGTGGATTGCCATTTCCTTCTCCAGGGGATCTTCCGGGGCCCTGAAAGGCAACGGTGCTTAGAGTCCACAAAGATCATAAGGCAGCCCTGGCTTCTCCTACTGATGAATTATTATCTAATTTTGTTAGAACTTTGCCTTAAAAGCTCCAGTGTTAACAGGAGGTGTGGGGTTTCCTGGACATCCCCAACACACTCTTTCTGTGTTTTAAAGAGCAAAAGACAAGACAAACTCCTGAATACCTGTGCTAACAAGGGAAGCAAGCGAGGGTAATTCACAGGCTGCCTCCACTTTTCCATTACAAGGCAGTGTTCTGGAACTTGGTTTTATTCGCATCTCATCAAAGAAACATATTTCCCTCCCCAGTGAGGAGCTTGGGTTCCTCATGCACATACCAGCCAGGCTGTCAGGGGCGGCCCCGCTCAGCCTGCAGTATGCTGTGCCAACTGAACTGGAGTGATAATTTCTCATGGATATCTAACTACCCGGGAGCCTCCAAGTATCCAAAGTGGACATTTAATGAGTTGTTGGAAATGCAGAAACAATTCTTTTAAAAAACCCGGTGAGAATGGGTTAGTGATTTTATCTTCTGAAAGGATTTCTTGGGCCTGTGCTGTTAGTTATGGGAGCAAATCAGCAGGAGAGACGTGGGCTCTTAGAAGAGCACAACTGGCAGTGAACTGGGTCTGAGTGATTGTTCTTCCCTCCTGGGGGCAGAAGCAGGGATCCCTGGGGTTCCAGCTGGGAAGTCAGCAGTCTCCTGTTCTCCGCCCTGGCACATCCATTCCATTGAGATCCCCAGGGAAGGGAGATGGGGTGGGAGGAGAGTTGTGAAAGAGAGACACAAGCTGGAGACAGGGAGCAGCCTCGAGGGTTTGTTGCCCTGGAGAAGAAGTCTTCAGAAAACCCTGGTCGGGTTGTCATCATGCACTTCTAGGGAAGGGGCTCGCAACCCTGGCTGCATATTAAATTCACCTAGGGACCATTTAAAAACGCTGCCGCCTGCTCTACCCCAGACTCATTGGATCAGTACCTCCTCTGGTGGTGGACAGCTTCAGTATTTGTTTCAGCTTCTGGGCCATTCCAAGGTGCTGCCAGTCAGGCTGGAGAGCAGCTGCTCCAGAGGGAAGCCCGGTGCCCTTGCATCTCTGGTCTTGAGAAAGCAGAAGCAGGTCTTCTCTACTGCCTCCCTTAAATGTGGAACCACCTGGGGGCTCCTCAGTCCCAGGTCCTTGTGTATTCTAGCACCCGCCTTTACAGAGGGAGCAAGATACTCTGTGGTAGAGGCTGAACCCCATGGTTCTTTCCCCTGCAGAGGGCGCAAGGAACGGGGCTCAGCAGGCAGTGCTGCTTGAAAGGTGGGGCAGGGCTGGCTGAAAGTGCTTTCTCTCCCTAGCAGACACACACATCTGTGATTGGCATTAACTCCAGCCAACACTGCTTGTCTGCTGAAGGGAAATTTCACTCTGTGTAGAAGAGCCTTCAAGTTGGAGTCACAGACAGATGTCTTATTCCCAAAAGGATGGAAGTGTGTGTCTCCATGTATGGTAATGGCCACATTGAATCTCTTTGCTGATCCCCTCATTACCCCAGCCATCACCCCCTGGGATGCTGAGAACCTGCAAGTTCCGTGGGTACCTGTACACCACCATGGGGCTTCCTTCCCAGGAGATTCCTGAGAAGGTAGCTGCCTAGAGACATGAAATGAAGGGGGTGTCTTTCAGGTCTGCAACCTGAGTTCTTTTCTCACTTTGGGGGATAATTTGTATTATTTTTTAATTACATACATTAAATATGCATGTCTTCTTGTTTAAACATTTTGAATAGTACAGTTTACCCAGTACATGAAAGCCTTCTTTCATCTTACCCCTAATTCCACTCACCTCCTTAAATATATTCACAATTACTCTTTTATAAATATTCTCATATACACATGCAAATGTATCAGTTGAATTTTTTCCCACAGAGGTGGAATTATGCAGTCTGTGCACCCCTTCAACTTGTCTTATTCTATTAGCATTGCCATCCTCTGACCCAGACATTTCTGATTCCGTGATAAAGCCCAGATTCTCATGTCATTGAGTGGTCTGGCTGTGTATGTGTATTCGTTTTTGTCAGGGACTGGGAAGTACCTAATATAACCAGGAAATACATCTTTCCTCTAGTGACCAAGGGAAAGCTGAGTGGTTTCCTTGTCAAACAGATGGTGACCAGATCCATGTCTGGTGGCCTCCCCTCCCCAGCTTGAATGTTTGGTCCTGTGAAGAGCTGTCAGGTATGAGATTGGATGGTCATCATCCACACATTGCCTAAGAGCCCCTGGGGCCACCACTGGAGCCAAGCTCTGGGGAACGTGAGGAAAAAGCCAGGCTGATTTGCCCAAATCCAAGGGGCTGGATGAGAGAAAACTGGTGAAAGTACAAGTTAACCTGCTGGACACCAGCTCACAAGTACAGAAGTGAGGAGGGGGTCACATTTGGGAAGTGTGGGAAGATTTCTCAATGAGGGAGATGGTGAACCAGGTTACGAAGGAGGAGAGAAATGTGGTTTGGTTGATGAGGAATAACATTCCTTTTATTGAGGAAAGACTGGAGGGAGAAATGTACAAGTGCATTTCTTGATCACAAGGGCCTCTGATTCAATGATCTGCCCATTGCACAAAACAAGAGTTTTCTTGAGCACCTATGTAGCAGGCATCATCTTAGACACTCAGTCTGTATTGCTTCAGACAAGTCTCATTCCGCTGAGCTAATTGTATTAGTTGTTCCCACTTTATAGATGAGCAAAACCGAGTCTTAGAGAACTAAACTGTCCTGCCCAGAGTCTCACAGATGGTAAGATGTAGGCACTGTGAGGGCAACCCTGATCCACATTCCTCCTGCACCACTCTGTGCCTTCCACAATCTCAGGGCCATCCTTGTGCTGTCCATACAGTGGAGGTACTGTCCTCCAGGGGGACAGAGGTCTGACTGACATCAGAGCTGCAGGGAGAAAAAGGTGACAGCTGGTATGCTTTCCTGGTTCTTGAGACCTGTCAGGGTCTTTTCTGCATGCCTCTCAGTGGGAATTTTTTTATAACTTTATTCTGGTATAATTTCAAATTTACAGAAAAGGTGCAAGAATAGTATAAGAAACTCTTGTACACCGTTTACTTAGATTCATCCATTATTTACATTTTGTCCTATTGTTTTGTCATTCTATATGTATAAACTCATATATATATATATATAGCATTCATCAAATATTCACATCTATATATATGAAGTTGTTCAGTCATATCTGACTCTTTGCAACCCCATGGACCATAGCCTACCAGGCTTCTCCGTCCATGGGATTTCCCAGGCAAGAATACTGGAGTGGGTTGCCATTTCCTTCTCCAGGAGATCTTCCTGACCCAGGGATTGAACCCGGGTCTCCTGCATTGTAAGCAGACGCTTTACCATCTGAGCCATGAGGGAAGACTTCTCTCTATATGTATAATACCATTTGTATGCTATATCTGTTCATACATATTCACCATTCACCATATAGGGATGGATTTCCCTCATGGTTCAGCTGGTAAAGAATCTGCCTGCAATGTGGGAGACCTGGGTTTGATTCCTGGATTAGGAAGATCCCCTGGAGAAGGGAATGGCTACCCACTCCAGTATTATGGCCTGGAGAATTCCCCCTGTATAGTCCATGGGGTTGCGAAGAGTCGGACAAGACTGAGCGACTTTCACTTTCATATAGAGACAAATATATATACTGCTTACAAATAGACATCATGCCCTTAACCTCTAAATGTCTTATTGTGTATCTTCTCTTAAAATCAGGAC